AACTAATCTACCAAATGTTGCCTTTGATCAGCCATTCCTTCATAGTGATGGCAAGCAGCTTGCAGAACAAAGTAATTCCATTTCAGTTTATTCAGCTAATTAAAAAATTCCTCTTTTTATTTTTTCTTTTTTCTATTTCAGAGCATAAAACCCACCAAAACCAAAGCTAAGAAGGAGCTGCTGGTTGGGCTTACAAGTGAAGATTACTCCAGTTTTATTAAGTATTAATCTTTGTGCTAAAGACACCTCCTGGACTTAGAAGGAGAACCAGATAGGATTATAGAACAAATGTTAGCACTACATGCATTTGTTTGCCTCTACAAAATGATCTTGGGTACACACTTCATAAACTGTGCTGTGCTAAAATGGTAAATATAAACTAGGCTTCTTGTCTGCTACACTGATTTTGAATAAAATGTCTGTTAAAGCTTATTGCTCATTTTTAATGTGACAGCTATAGGCCTTAGCAAGGGATCAGGCTCATTATGCAGGAAACAACCAAATACAGTCTACAAACAGTGTTATGAAGGCATGTAATTTGACAAGGAAATACAAGGGGATAAAGACATAAATAGGAAGAAGGTCAGACAGGGTGACTAATACGAATATAGTTGTAAAAATTAGAAGCTTCTGTGTACTTTTCCCCTTTTTATTTACTTGGACTTTGATAGTCAACAGGATGCAATGCAAGTGTAGACTCCAGCTTCCATAGAAGCTGCTTGCAAAAATACATAGCAGCTGCACAAGACTTGTAAGATCTGAGTGAGGCTAGTTAGCAGTCTTCTTCTTAAGAGAGTGATGTATTGTCAAAACCATTAAAATTAGTTGTTAGGTGAATGAGTGGACAATATCAACTAAGCAAATCCTTTAAACTTGTTATATAACGTTTCAGGTTCAATCCTAACATGTTTTTATGCCTAACAAAATTTAGTACCTACAGAATTTGAAATTGATCTGTACATCTGAATTATGTTCACATGTGAAAGAAGCAGCTGTCAAATAGTAGTCATTGTGCTGAATTTCCAGAGAAGAAATGTTCTTTTTCTTGTTACGTGACCAATAAATTAAGCTACTGCCTGAAGCTTCACATTTCATTTTCTTTGTAAATGATTGCTGCTTTAAACCACTGGTTATGGTTTATTTATAGAATAATACATAGTTCACAATTAAATACCAAGCTATAATTGAATCAAAGGATTCTGCTGATGCTTCGACTCACAAGAGTACAGTTCAAGAGCTTTATAAAGGGCATCAGAATCTAAGTAAATTACAGCCCCCAGTATTCGGTCTGGGATCATACATTATAATGTGTAATAGGGGTAAAAGGATTATTATAATACTGTAGTAAATAAAATGTATAAAACAGCAGAATTCAGAATGCTTGCAGAAGCATTTAGTTTACGATGTGGGAGGCTAGAGATTATACTGCATGAGAAATGAGGCTAGAGGAAAAGTATTTCATAAACACATTTATTTTCTTTGTATTCTGAAATTATTCTAAAATAAAAGGAAAATTTATGTTTCATATATTAATGCACAGTAAATTCATAATGTTCTGCTACATGGTTATAGCTGATTGCAAATGATACATAGCTATTTCCTGTCACAAGGGATCAATAATTATATTATATAGTAATTCTCATATTTGTGATTTTTTTGAATAAAATTAGAAACATTGAAAAGTTAAATTTAGTTAACTACAACCAGTGTGAGAATAATATAAAAAACCCTGTATTTTTCTAGTACAAAAAAAAGTTCATAGATCCAATTCACAAAACAAATATTCTTTATTCTTGCAAGAAACCTGACTGATAAAGCATACATTTTTAGGTCCAAATGAGGATTAGTTTTGACCTAGATACTTTGTTTTGGTTTGGAAGGTGCTTTCTTAAAAATGATAAACACTTTACACTTTTTTCTACACTGTCTGCTAATTTGTGCTGTATCTTTAGCACTGTAAGCAAGGACACCAATCGATATTTTGTTATGTAGACATTTAATCCATCAGATGTTTACCCCCATTACTCACACCAAGCTGTAATTAGCCCAGGAAGTCCCTAATGTAGCCACAGTAGCTTTGCACTACCTGTAATGTTGTGGAAGCTCATCATATGCCTTCCACAGGGTTTCTGCATTTTCCTCTGACTCTCTTCAGTGTAAGAAATAAAATAGTGGGCTATAAAGGCATTGGTCTAATCTCAGGATGGAATTTTTCAGTGGATTTAGAGTACAGCTCTTTACAGATCTTCCTGGAATTGCAAGTATCCAAGAGTAAATTAGACACTTCGAACATTGTTGAATGTATGTTTACAGAACAGCCCTTTGGGAAGAGTGGGGAAAGGTCGGTAGCTTGTTTTCTGATACCTACCAATCTAACACATAATGTGCAAAATCACATATGTGCAAAGTCTTACTTTCCACATATGGGAATATAGTGATTTTTAATATGAACTTCAGGAAAGTCTGCTTCACACTGGCATTTTTTTTCCTACAAAGCATTTAATACTGAACTGATTTTCAATTCTGAATAATACATATGTAGTCATTATAACTTCTCTTGGGTTCCCATTTTCAAAGTTCAAGTGAGGTTATAGCATATTATTTCCAAAACTATCTTTTAAATAAGTTGTAGCAATTACTTAAGAAAATTAGAAGTCATGCAATAAACTCACAGTGTTGATATAAACAAAAAAGCCCGATGAATCTGCAGATTAAATTTTTGTACAAAGCATCACAGAGATGGATGACACTAAACCAAGACATAGATGCAATGTTGCTTTAGGGAGGGCATTGAGAAAAGGTAGCAGTCTTCCTGTTGGTTTCGTTTTCTTCTTTTAAATTTTTTCATTTGAATATTACTTGACTCTAGCAATATCATGAAGGGAAAGAATAAAGAAATATATAGCAGGTGGAAAATTTATGTTAATAAATGCAGGAAACATAGTAGACTGGGCCAGGTAGGAATTTATGGATGTGAAGCAGGAAAGGTTACAACAAGCTGTAGTCCCTGCAATAAATATGCCCACAGAAAGGACAAGGGTGAGAGAGGATAGTATTTACTATTCAAAGAGGATTATATTGTCCTTATTGTTACCTTGGCAAATTTAGGCAACAATAACAAAGACTTCATATTTAGGGAGGTGGTAATTAAACAGGAGAGATTGAGAGAAGAGCTGCTGGCTTTTGGAGAAACTCAGAAACAAGATGGGGCATGTGGTATATAAATATTAGAGGCTCTGAATTAGGAAAATATTCTGCTTTAATTATGCAGGATTCATACTTACATCAATAGAAAAATGTTATCAAAATAGGCCTTTGATTCAGTGTATTGGCCAAAAATGTTTCCATCAGCATTGTAATGCAAAGAGTGTGTATTGCAGGGGATTATCTGATGAAGATGTCAGTGAGGGTTTTGTTTGTTGTGCTTATTGGAATAGCTTGTAAAGTATTTGGGAACATTTGGTAGAAACTAAAAATTACAAACAGAAAATGCAAAAAATTTCTGAAGAGCTCTATTCCCAATTCGATATTTAAAATAAAAATAATTTTACCAAAAATGCTGTAAACTGGCAAATCCTACAACAGTTTGAAAATATACCCATTTCTCCAAAGAGCCTAGTAGAAATCTGAGAGCCTTTAATACCTTTGCCTGACTTTTTTTTTTTCATGTTGTGTCATTTTAAGGACTGAAGACTGAAAGACTCTCATATCAGAAATCTTTCATGTGTTTTTGCAATACATGGACTGCCAACCAAACCAGTGACCCAATTAAAAATTATTTTAATAAGTTTGCACAGGTGTACACACACAGAATCTATACAAAATCTTTTGATGTCAAGCTGACCACTAACACAAGATACTGATAAAACAGTACAGAGAACATATCATTGAAGAACTGTTTCTCTTACAGAGATGGTAAACAGTTTCAGGAAACAGAACACATGTAGAGCAAATCATAGAATAGTTAGGGTTGGAAAGGACCTTAAGATCATCTAGTTCCAACGCCCCTGCCATGGGCAGGGACACCTCACACTAAATCATGTCACCCAAGGCTCTGTCCAACCCGGCCTTGAACACCGCCAGGGATGGAGCATTCACAACTTCCTTGGGCAACCCATTCCAGTGCCTCACCACCCTTACAGTAAAGAACTGCTTCCTTATATCCAATCTAAAATTCCCCTGTTTAAGTTTTAACCCGTTACCTCTTGTCCTATCCCTACAGTCACTAATGAAGAGCCCCTTCCCAGCATCCTTATAAGCTGCCTTCAGATACTGGAAGGCTGCTATGAGGTCTCTGTGCAGCCTTCTCTTCTCCAGGCTGAACAGCCCCAAGTTTCTCAGCCTGTCTTCATGCAGGAGGTGCTCCTGTCCCCTGATCATCGCACGTTCAGGTTCTTAAGATGGTCTCGAACCAGATCCTCTCTTACAGTGGGCCTAAGGTCTCCATTCTCACAGTCCCTCTGTCTGCCTTCCAAGACTTGGGTGGTGTGGTCAGAGCATTTGCTGAGGCAAAGAAGTCATTAAGTACCTCAGGCTTCTCCAAATCCAGGGTAGCCAGTTCTCCTGACAGCTTCCAGAGAGGGCCCACATTGTTCCTAGTCTAACTTTTATTTGCAACGTACCTATAGAATCACTTCCTGTTATCTTTCACATCCCTAACCAAGTTGAATTCTAACTGGGCCTTAATTCATTAAACCTCTTCATGGTTTAATGAAGTATTCACCCAAATTAGTCCAAAAGTCTCTCAGTTTGTTAGATTCATAATAATTTTTTACCACCATCACTATTTTCATCTAACATTTCAGTGTGAATAAAACTTAGTAATTCAAATATTTGCAAAAAGCAAATGAGAATTAATAATTGAGCAAGCTATACCAATATTACTTTAACATAGGCAAATGGAGAACTCTTCTTGTGATGTTTACCTTGCTACTGAACAAATTGTCCTCACATTTCTTGCATTACGCCTGGCAGAGCTACAGGACACTGGCAGAACTTACCTCCCCTTCTGTAGACTGTAAGTGAAGTTCTTTCCTACAGGTAGCCTTTAAGTCTCCTGCAGCTGCATTGACCTGCACTCCCCTGGGTGCTTCCATCACCAAAGATCTAGTAGGAGATTCAAGTCTGAAACACAAAAGCAATCACTAAAAAAAAAAAGCACCGAATCAAGGCACCAAAACCCACCCAGCCCCAAAACCCACACTGCATGTAGAAATGAATGCATTTTGAGAGGTATAGAAGTAAAAATGTGTGTGATTCTTGCACTACACTTTATGATCTGTAGAAAGAAAAATTTAAGTACCTGTTTAAATCTATTCCTATTTAAGACAACATTTAGGCATACGCTGATATAAGATCGCCTGCTTAGTGATGCTTTCCAGCATTAGCACCTAATTTACTTAACTATATTAATACTAAAATATAGGTACTTAAGAATCCACACGTTTCCATGAGTGTTTCTGTAGAGACAAGTTAATAACTAAAGTCTGCTTAGTGTCTGGTAAGAAATGTCAACTAAATAACAGGAAAACAAAACACTTAAATGTTTTAATTAATGATGTAAAACTGATTAGAAATACTCTGCCTTCACTGGTTCATTTATATTTTGGAGTAGGTGTAGCAGCATTATGTATGAGGAAGAGAAGAAAAGAGATTCTGTTATGTCTCTATTATCATGGGGGTTTTGCATGCTTTTTCTGTTCTGCAAAATACTTGTTCAGCTCTTTAACCCTGTTATAATAGTGTTATGACACATATCATTGGGTCTTGGTATCTGTCCTCAAAACAACTACTGTTCCTCTACTGTCAGTCTTTACGTTTCTCTCTACTGTGTACCTGAGATCCTCCATCACCCTTAATGCGAACTATAATACTATCTTAAATATAGGATCCCACAGTACTGTGCTGGTTTCTCTTAAAAGGGAAGTACTAATGCAAAGATTTCATAGAAGTCTAGCTCACAGACTGACTAGGAAAGATGATTGGATGAAAATCGTATTGAACTAAGAAACAAAAATTTGGATTCCAGTTGTGTTCAGCTGTAGACTTACTGTATAGGTCCATTAAGAGGGTGACAAATCATTTAATCCATTTATATCCCAAAAATATAACGACAGAACACAGTTCCGCTTTACCTGAACAAAGCCTTTTTTGTAAGATGAAATGTATTAATGACAGAAATATCTAGAATGAGTAGCTTGAAGCAAATACTGTATTTCCCTCTTCAACAAAATGTATTTTGAATGTTAGGTAACATCCATTCAAAAATATAATGAGGTACTAGATATATAAAGGAAAGAGTAGATTGACAAAGAATTTGCTACAGAAAAGCCAAATGAAGGGTCTGTCAAGCAACGGAACAAGAGAATTTTAGTGTATTCAACAACTGAATATTTTAAATGTACAGAATAGTGATGGATTATAATTTTGAAACCAAAATGCCACATTTGCACACACAGTAAGGCACTGAGATGATGTCTGTAAAATATTTCTGTTTGTTACACGTCACTGAAACTCAGGAGTGGAAGGAAAGAAAATGTATCTGTACCTAAACAGTCCAAGAGAACAAAAAAGGAAAGCAGTTATTTGGTAACACAAATGGAACTATTAAAAGCAGGCGTCCAGATAGAGGAAAACAGCTACCTATATAAAAAAAAGCATGGGATGCATACAGATAGGAGCAGTAGAAAAATATCTGTATTTCTGTTAGTGCTAAGCCATTTTCTGTTTTTTTTTCTTTCTTTTTTTTTTTTTTGACACTCTGTAGGGAGAAGTTAATAGAAGGTTTTGCAGTTCTTTGTACCAGGAAGAATCTAAGTATCATGAATTATTTAATCATGTACATCACTGTTTTTCAGGTGGTGGTTTGTGAACTTCTGATGGCTATAAGATAGCAGAAAAAGAGCTTCCAAACCTTTTAGGAACAATATAAACTATAAAATTTAGAAATCAGATTTTTGAAAGTGCTGTTGCCTTAAAAAGGTTTTACCTTGAACTTAAAATGAAACTGATCTGTATAAATACTAAATGATTATATGCTGCCACTCCATATTTTTCAGCAGCATATTTTTTTGCAATTTATAACCTTCTTTCCAGGAATATTAATATTTCCTAGTGTTTTCAGCTGCCATTTCATAATCATGAAGACAAAAGTGCTCTTAACTACATTTATTGCATTGAATTTACAGGTATCAGCAAAGTCACAAATATTTCTGGTTTCCTAACATCAAAACCACTCTCAGACCTGACTGAAATTTTTCAACAGGTGGACAATATAAATCTATTTAGGAATATGTTTCAAGAAACTATGATTTTGTTTGAGGAATAAACTTTCTTCTTTCTCCTGAAACATATGAGAGCTTATAGCTCGAAGTTGTTTTTCCTGGTGTCATCACTGTTTTTCATGAACATTAAATGATTTCCAGTTTGTCTGGAAGTCTAAAATAAAAGACATTTGGGCAGTTAATTTCTGAACTTGAGACGTTAATAGCAGCCTTCTACGCATTATGGAGAAGAAAATTCTTTTTCAGACAACAGATCTTTTTCGCAGTTTCCTGAAATCAAATAATGTGGTAGAAATGTTAATGAAGGGCTGACTATTAGCCACCCATCAACAAGTAAAAGTGAATGACTAAATCTGTTTGACAGTTACTAACTTACTTTTCTTAATATTATTCTTGGGATGATCTACATCTGAAAAATTACTTAGCTGCACAATCTGCAGGATGCTACTGGAAATGCAAAGTCTATACACACAGAGAGATTATATCCTTAATGTCTTGAAATAAATTAGGTTTGATATGCAGTTGGTTTATAATAGTTCTTGTCGTATTTCTGAAAGCTTTAATCTCTACTATAAACTTATTGTAACACTCCACATTGTAATACTCATTCCTCCAAGGAAAAATGAATTACTACAATAGCTTATCAAGAATCTGCTATCCTTTCAGATCTACTGATGACCTGTCACAATGTCATTTGAATCTATGAATACTATTCATACAATTTATTTTTTATTTCCCAAACAATAAATGGCTGTGATGGAGAAGGTAACTACTGCTATTATTATACAGAAACTACAACACTGAAGGAAAGACAAAGAAGCTTTTAAAATGAGGTTTTCAAATAACATAGTCTGTCAATTAACTGTAGGTGATGCAGACAGATGATTTATCCAGAGCTGAGAAGGTCTTTTTCTCTTCTTAATTATCAATGGTTAATTTGTGAAAAAAGATAAATTTCAGAGGATCAAAGCTATGTGACTTTGAGCTGAATTCATTAAAGAGTTATTGCTAAAAAAGGCAACTTTTCAAATCTCTTCAATATGTTCCTTTGAAGGTATTAACATATTTCTCATTAGAAATGTAGAAACATTTATTTTTCATTCAGTATTTCCTGTTTACAAGCTGACCTAGATTGTATTAGAGGAAAATAATTTTAAAAATATGAACCAAAAGGTTTAATTTGGGGTTTTAAGAAATATTTCAGGTTTACCTCTTGTATATCCCTCATATTCACATGGGACATGATTTATCTATGTTAATTTTGATCTGTTAGCTAGCAGAAGGTATTTCTTAAAAGAGAAGGAAATAGAAAATTTCCCTGTTCAGATGTGAATAATTTATTTGTTTCTTGTCTATTTAAGCAGTGGATCTAATGCATGCTACTTAGTAAAATGGCTAATATGAACCTCCACCACTTTGGAATTTGTATTCAAAATGAGATTAAAAAATAGGTTGTCAACTAGAGATTGCACGTGAAAAGCAGGTACTCATTTCCCTTTTACTGGCACCTTTACAGCTGGGGGTCAAGAAATACTTCAAAGTATTTAAGTTTTATATATGATGGCCTTGCTAACGTACATTGCTGTGGCTTTTTTTCAGTCAGCATAGAAATCCTGTTTTTTAAAAAGGGTTTTGCAAACATAAAACCAGTGGAAAACCTACACATTAATTTGGTCACCTTTTTGTAGATTTCAATAGACTAAAATAATTGCGACATCAATCATGCTGCCTGTAGCAGAAGAGGTGTGGCAGACTGAGGCTGCAGAGATGTAAGATACACAAGGAAAAAGGAAGGCAAATAGTTTCTGCAAGCCTCGCTTTTCCATGCTTCCTACTTCTTGCTTTTAAACAAGCCCTCCCAAATCCAAAAACCCATAGAAAGTAGCACTTTTCTCTTCCACGAGTGAACAAACCATTTTGTTCCAAATTTGAATTAAGATTATTTTCAAAATATAATTTTGAAAACGTTGTTTTACAGAAACACCAACAATTTTAAAAATACATTCTTTCCATTTCTATGATTATGAAAAGAACAGCTGGCTGTCCTGACACTCGAGAAAACTGATTTCAAGAGTCCTCCACTGAGACTGAGAGTCCTTTAAGGAGTCCCCTGAACACTAATGGTGCTTGATAAAATTAGGGGTTTCATTTCATCCATTTCCTGGAAATCAGTCTGCAAACTTCAGTGGTATTCATAAATAGCCAAGTAATTTTATGATCACAGTGACAAATACACCTGGAAGCCTTTTTTAAGATCTTATAACTATTTAAAGAGAGGATTCTTTATTAGCTGCATGTGACATCACAATGGGAATGCTCTGAATATAAAATTGCTAGTCACTTATTTTTAACTCATTACTTATACTATTTACAAGATTATACGTTCACTTTTAAACATATAATGTGACTAAAAATATCATTTTGGTACATGTAAATGTATCAAAATGTGTACCTTTTTGAGATACATATGAATCATTGCCAGAATAGTTATTTCTCCTGAAGCTTGCAGCATTAATGCTTGTTGCATTAATCAAATGCTTATATTTTCAGGATGATTTTTTTTTTAATGAAATGCATATATAAATGTGCAGGCCTCATGGATCCTTAGTATTGCCACTGATCAACAACTATTCTTCATTAAGAAATAAATTCTCATATGTTCATGTGAAGCTCTCTTTGATTTATGTGGGAACCTAAACTTTAAGGGAACAATTTGTCACTATTTTGTGACTTCATGACATGAGTCTTAAGTTAGAAAAAGTTAAATAGATATCTTAAGGAATAAGCAATAGCCTAAACGAGTAAATATTAACATGATTTTGTTTTCCCAATGTTCAATTT